CCCCAAAACCCCAAAACCCCTAAAGCTAAAAGCTAGATGAGTTTGGAAATGGTAAAATTATAAACTCCTTAAACTTTATTTTTTAATATTTTCTCAATCACATCACAATGGCATCTAGATTTCAATTTCCCTAATTTCGGAATTCCCTTGTGCATGACCAGGTTAATATTCCAAATCAAAAATCCTATATTTTTTCGCATCTCTTATACTGGCTTAATTGAATTCTTCAAATATATACAAGGATTAGTGATTAGGTCTAGTTTTAAATATGGATTCAGCAACCTTGTGAAGTTTTAAGTTGTTTAGTTCAATAAGATATAAGTACTAATGATCTTTTATAAAGCCATAAGGTGAGCTTTGATAATTGTAATCAGGAACTCTAAAAATAGCACTCATTCCAATTAAGCTAATCTAGAGTAGTCTAACCTTTTTATCTGTGTCAATTACAATGATATCTGATTAAATATCTCCTTTCGATTTGGAGAAGGTTCCTGCCAATTAGTTTTACTTAATCTGGATCAAAGTAGAGCAGATTAAGTCTAACTCAAATTCTTTATTTTTAACCAACTTAAATTGATACTGCACTTTGTCTGAAGAAGCTACTTAGAGAAATTCACCTATATAAACACCTTTATCAGTAGCAAAAGCATATAAAAGATCATTTTTAGTACCAGATTTACAGATATCATTGATGTCCCCAACGTTTTGAAGTTTAAACTATTATGAAATTTAGTTATTCTTTACAACCCATATAAGCTCAATAGAGCCATTCTCTTATGCTGTAATAATAATATCATTGGTAAACCTCATCATCTTATTTATCATTCCTTAAATTTAAAAAGTCTTTGTTATTTGCCTTTGATACTTCTCTATCATGACTGGTACTTTGCTATAAAATCCTGATTTTTCGAAGATTGATGAATATATTTTCCCTTTTTGCATGTGGTAGAAAGAAGGGCATTTAACTAATTCTGGCTGCAGTAAATAATTCTGCTATTATACTTGATTCAGCATAAATTTAAGATTTTTATCTAACACTTACTAGGTTCCATCTAAAAGTGAGACATATAGATTGTTTTGATCCAGAAAAACAATAAAGAATGGTGATGGTAATTCTTATCTGGTTGCATTTAGAATTTTAAATTCGAAATCGTGATTGTTAAATTTATTAATCCTATGCTCCTCCTCTATCTTTGCTTAGATTTGGCTATGAATTTATTCTTGATCTCGAGGTTTATAAGGAAACAAGTCACTGAATTTTTCCTCTTCTACCTGTTAAATCATATTTGAGATTTAGTCTTCTCTTTCGCCATAAGGAAATGGAACATATTCTTTTTTCTCCTCTTATATATCCTCTGGATCACCATAAACTAATTGATTTCTTCTTTGTTGCTGGGGATTATTAGCTTTACCAATTTCTAGATCTCCTTAAAATCTATTTTAAATTTACATCTACAAATCTTGATTGGCTGGCTTTCCCTTTAACAGATTTGAAAATTCTTTCATATCAATTTGTAGTTGATTGCAGCTACATTAGATGGTTTCAATCATTCTATTCAAGTTATGAATTTGATTATCTTCAAGGAAAGTATTAAGTCTTATTTAATATGTTTAAAGCTCTTATAGCTTTATTTCTAGTTCGTATGCCATAATTTTCTAGGCTTAAATTAGTTATTGGGGCACATCATCAATCATTGAGTAAAGTATTTCTTTTATTTGCCTTATTGATAGTCTGTTTTCAGGCTTATAGCTAACCATTCTATTTAGTAAATCTTGTAATTATCTATACTATTCAGGCAAGACTAACTTCTAATTATCTTTTTGATGACTCTCTACGAAATTTCTGACAACTTAGTTCCCGTAAGTCGATTAACCTGTACATAAGTAGAGCAGCATTACCCCTAAAGACCAAATATCGCACATCTTATCACTTGATAGATCTCCTCTATAAGCTTCTGGCGCCATATAGTTAATTTTCCCTGCTGAAGCGAATGTTACTTGACCAAAGGACGCTAAACCAAAGTCACAGATCTTAAATGTATTATCTTTGAAAACTAGAATATTTTCAGGGGAAATATCTCTGTGTATGATATCGTGATTATGTATGTAATCCAATCCATTTAGAACTTGCAACAGAATTTGAATGACCTTCTATTCATTTGGAAGTCCTTATTTTTCGATATATCCTGTTAAATCATAATCAGCTAGCTCCTGTATAATGACAAACTTGTTATTATTTGTCAGATAAGATTCTTTCACCTCTGTTATATTGGGATGCCTTAGAGAAAATGTGCAGATCTCTCTTAGTATTCTTAAGAGCTCTAGTTCAATTCCTTATATAGCTTAACCAGGGTCTTATTTAGGATCCTTGCTTTAACTGTGAGTTAATACTTGAGCCAGATCTTGTTACTTGAATGCATATTTTGTTCAATTTTAGTCATAGAGATCTGTTGCCGCATAAACAGTAGCATAGCCTCCCTTTTTAATGCAAATATCTTTTCTATATCTATATTCAGGCTTTCTAATTTTCATTGCAACTAATTTTTCCATTTTTTATATCTCTATCTATCAATATCTTTACAAATTCAATTTAATAATTCTACTTAAAAATTTCAGCAATGGGGTTTTGGGGTTTTGGGG